TATGCTTAATATTGTGTCAACACTTGAAGAGTCAATGATGCCATATTTAGCAGTGATCAGGAAACTGTATAACATGTTCAGTACACAGACATATCTGAAATTAGCCCCATGAGTTTGTCATCACCAGGTAATAAAAGATAACAATCTGTCAAATAACCAGAAGGATCTAACCTCCTACTTCTCAATTTTCATGTCAGTCAGGTTTTATTATCGCTTCCACAGTTTTGGGTCATAAATTATAAAAAAAAATAAATACAAAAACAAATTGTATCCAGGACATGCAAGGCTTGTAAACTCTGAATGTTTAACCTGTAGGAGCCACTGCAGTTGGCGCTTCTCATCCTTCTGCTGTTTACAAACTAAGAAATACTTTTTTAATCATCTAGTTATAACCGTACATTCATAATTATAATTGTGTACTGTGTATAGCAAGCAAATTATAGGTGGATAGATGATAGTTATTTATTCTGTAGCATCTGCTATATGATGTGAACGAACACAAAGATAAATCAGGCTCGATGTCTACCATTGTCTGAAGGATAAAAACATAAATTCTACAAAAGATGTTTTTATCAAGGATATACAAATCCAGAAATGTATTAATTTTTTGTTTAAAAGCCCCCAAGGCATCAGCAATTAATATAATTAAGATTTTTTTTCTTGATTTACATAAAATCAATGTTTTTTTTTTTAATAATTTTATCAAATAAGGTATTTGACTTAAGAAACTACTTACAGTAGAAAGGGTTTTTTTTTTCTTCTGGATTTACATTTAAAAAATAACAGCTGATCAAGGTTTTAGGTTTATCAAAAGGTTTTACAGTCGAGAAGTTGGAGTTCTGATGTCAAAAACAGGAGTAGAATATAGTAGAAGAGAGTTTTCAATTCATTTTTATTCTAAGGTGAATGGGTGGATCAGATTAAATTGGAATCAATAAAAGAAATAAAACATTTCCCTTCATTAAAACAGCAACCCCAAACCTCCTTTTAGTTAATATCTTTAGTTTACCAGTTTATACAATTCAGTCAAATCTTTTCAAGTGTTTTGAATTGAAAGGTTTTGCATAAATTCCAGTTAATTTGACTGCAATTCGCACACAGGTGGATGGATCAGATTTAGAGAGGAAAGACAGCAGCAGACTGGGTTCATGTGTGTTCCTTCAGTTTCCACATGCTGGGATTCACATCTTTTTATTGCCAATGCAAATTGGGCGAGCCACCTGTTCCACCTGCTGCCGTGATTTAGTCTCATTTGACGCACTGCAGCCTCGCTCCTACCAGCACTTCAATTAACCGTGATTTAGAACAATTACTGAAATGCTTCCCCTAAATAAGGATTCGGTGAAATTGAAATGGGACATGACAAACCCCTCAGACGGTAATATTAGGCCACTTTTCAGTTACATTATGTGATAAGATTCTTTTTTTATGCTATTATGACACTTGTTCCGTTTCAGGGTTGCAAGAGAGAAAATGTAAATACATTTGATGCTATTTTAAGTCTAGACAGTAAGGGACAGTTGTAATTTTTTTTTCTTTTTTGCATGAGTTGCAAACTCCGAGCAAGCGATTGTCTCCAGTCTGGAAGGTATCGTTTGCAGGGACAGCCCTGACCTACGGCTGTGTGCAGCTTGTTTCCTCAACGGTATCAGGGATTCTCCAGGATAACAGAGGATCTCTGCATGACGCATAACATTAGATTAGATTGAGATCTGAAAACCGCTCTGAGGTCAAGGAAAATGAAATATGGCTTTCCGTTTTGTCATTGTTAGGCCAAAAAGAGGACAGAAAACAAGGCATGTTTCTTTTTTCTTTTCCTTTACTGTCCCATATATCATAATCCCTGCATTTGCGTCATGATTACCTTTAATTTCACACCATCTTGTCCTCCATTTCAATCTGCTGTATATAATTACCTCAGTGACACTTTACGCATGTCTACCCTAAATTCACTGCATGTCTTTTACCTTCTGTTCCTGCCGCTCTTCCTTTGTGTAATGATCCTCTGTACAGTGCTTTCCTATTATCCTGAAATATTGTCTCGGATCTGTTTTGCTCAAAGGGTGGAACTGCAGATGGAAAAAGGGAGAAAAAACAGATCATATACATCCTGCATGATGGAAAATAGAAACTCAGATTTAAAATTCAGTTTAGTAAAACATTTATGCATGGCCACTGAAGCATTTATACCAATAGACAAAGTAGCAGTTTTAGTAAAATGTACCTAATAGTATTCGACCAAACATCCCAACGTCCTGTTGTCTCCAACCTACAAAACCATTTTATACTTTATCCCCAAATGAAATTTTAAACAAACATGTTTGAAAGAAACTTGGTTTGCAACAGTCAGCTTTATTCTATGTTTTGTCCATTGCCAACAGTTGGGCCTTGGGACTTTTGAAGGTTTGAGTTGAAGGTGATGTTAAATCTATTCAGTCTTTTATTTTGAATTAGTGCTATTTCTATCATTGCAGGAAATCATCTCTGAGGTTTAATCAAATGTGATATCCATCAGATTTCTATCTTAAGTCCACTTTTGTTCATTTAACATTGCATTTTACTTAAAGCATTATTTTTGAGTGATTACTCTAGAAAACAGCTTTGATTATTATTGTAGTTCTGATATTCGGTCCCTGGAGCCTGCTTATGGTGGAGGTGAACTATGAGGCTGTAAAGGCCCACAAGGCAGGCAGGGAGCTTGCAAGAGGGCTTAGATTTCCTCATAGAAAGATCTCAAAATTTTATATATCAACAACAATTTAAACTCACAGAGATGTTCCTTGAATAGTACAATGTAAAACATTATGATTTGCTAAAATGTTTATGTATTTGAAGCCTGCTTATCAAAATCTTAATTGCTTAATAATTTAACGCTATGGCTGTAGTTTTATCTTTATTTGCAGCTTTTCTCTCTTCTGGCCTCGTATCTTTTGTACTTTATAACAGTGCTAAGAAAGCTAGGAAAACATTAGAAATGTGCCATGGTGATGGGTAGGCACAATGTTTCTACTTTCTTTTAATGTCTGTATAAAACATACCGAACTCAACACTGGACACAACATACATACAAAATAAATAAGACAGAGAAATAATCATTCTCTGTAAAAGATCAAGCTGTTACTTTGTCAAATGCTTTGTAAATGTGTTCACTAGTTAACAAGACATCTTTCAATTGCACTAATGTTTTTGAAAATGTGACTGGATGGAAATGGGGCCTCATTTTATAGGATTTTTAGTCTCTATTATAAGTTTAAAAATATAGCTCCACAAAATGTTATTTCTAAATCATTTTTTTTTATTATTCTTTCAGTTTTGAGGCATTTATTTTTTTGAGTTGTGTGGCACTGAACTTTGAACTTTTGCATTTAAAATCCAAGTTACTGTATATAGATTCTCCATTTAAATGTGAGTATGAGCAATTAATATTTAAGGCTGAAAACTTGATGGTTCCTCCTTGGGCATCAACCAGTGGTTTTAAGTCTGAAATAAAGCAGCTGGATATCAGCATTTCAGTTTAAAGAGCTCTTGTTCAATGATATTAATGCAAGAAAAAACTATTTTGTTTCTTTTCTGTGCAAATCATAAATGATCAACAAATTATGACTGACAAACTGAAAGAGAAGATTGTGTTTTCTGGTGCTCGCTATGATAGGTTTATATCTAATTTGGCAAACTGGAACTACTTATTATTATTATTATTTTTATTATATATATTATATATTATTATTATTATTATATATATATTATTATTATATATTATATATATTATATTTATTATATTATTATCATTATTTGATCATTAAAAATCTATTAAATATTCATGTTGGTTCCACAAGGCTTTACTCTTTTGCCTCTTTTATCCAAAATGTGAATGTTCAATTATCAATTGAGACCACAACGATAATAAATGGATGGGCCAGACTTTGGTTCAGTGCAGAATGTTGCACAAGTTTTTAATTTTAGTCCCAAGCATAATAAAAAAAAAAATCTGAAATCTAGAATTAGATTGAATAAGGAGAAAGAGAAAAGTATACTTTAATTTTAACTTCCATATATCCGGCTAAAAACATATAGATAAATTATAGGTTTTAGTAAAAAAGAAATCAAGCAGGCAGCTGCAGCTCATCCGAACTGCTGCTATTGGAGGCCAGGCCAAGACCAGGTTATTGGATCCAATGACCCCACTCCTTTAATCACTGCACTGACTCGCTATCAGGGCTTTAATGCATTATTGATGGTTTTAAAGGTACTAAATAGTCTTTGACCTTGGATATTTTATAGGGATGAACCATATTTCATTAGAAATCTGCTTACAGAGTTCCTGGTGCACAAGTTTTTCTTTGTATTGATCAGGTTTTGCAAATAGAATAAGATAATTTGCATTTGAAGTAAGAGCAAACAACTCAGTTATTCTATTACAAGTGAATATCTAATTATCTAATTTTAAGGGGGAAAAAAAATACTAATTCCGTCAGCAGATCAATGCATTTGCCTGCTCAAATTAAACAAAAGTACTTTTATTTTGAGAGATTTTTACTTATTTTTACATAAGCATTAGCAAGGTGGAGGAAGCGTTTAGCTGATATTTGTATAACCTATGAAGCAAACTCCATGGAAACCTATAACTGTCTATCATAACAAATATTACCTTATCAGTTCATTTAATATTCTATGACTGTCTGTTTTGTAGGGCTTTCGTTTTAAATATCATACATAAACAAATAATGTTTCAGTCATTAAAATGTTTCTCCCTTTACTAATGTTTTTTTTCCTCATACCTTTCGATTTTGATTTGAAGTTGTACAAATAAACTTACCTTGCATGTAATGTTAATACTCATGCAATACCACATAATTGTCTCTTTCTTCTTTTTTTATTAATCTAAAATCTCCTCCTAATGCTCTTGTTTTTATCTGAAAGAAAGCTTTTACAAAGTTCCTAACATATATTGCTTTAATATCTCAAAGATGTTGCAGATCATCAAATTTCTTTTCTTGCAGGTTATTGCTGAAAATGAGTTCATCTGCTTCACCTGCGCCCATCACTACAGTTCCTTCAAACACAACGTTTGTGACTAAGTCTAGAGAACAAATACTTATCCAGAGTAAGAAACCAGATTATGCTTTGTGTTTGTTTATGTTTTTGTCTCCTTGCAGTTCTGGTTACAGATTCTAAAACACGTTGTTCTTTCTGCAGATATTAGAAAACCTAGAGGAAACACCCATCATGTCTCTTTAGAGACAATTTGTATCGTCACAGTTTATGACAGTGTGTTCAAGAATGGCACCCATGCATATATTAAAACATTTTTCTCATATTTTGTTTATCTGAATGTGCCGTTGCTATGTTACAACACTGCTGAAGGACTTTTTAAAAAGTTGCACCACAGATAGAAAAAAAAATGTGAACAAAACAGAGCATGTGGTGAGGCGATGGTAGATAACCTGCCTTTCTAGACTTTTATGTCTCTTTCTCTCTCTGTCTGCTTTGCAGGCTCTGGGGCTATGATTGCTGTCATTGTCATAGGCATCATTATAATTCTTGCCGTTGTTCTCATCATTCTGAAGACATATAACAGGTGAGATGACATTCCTTCATATTGTATTGGCCTGATGATAGCATACTGGGTCTATTTTTATTCATTCAGGGTGAACGGGATGCCTGCTGAAGCTTTCCAGCTTTTCATCCGTGAAAAAATGTGATTCTTTGTTGTTGAATTCTGTAACATAATGCAGAAGAACATTTAAATTACCCCTATTAAAGACATAAACAACATGTATCCGTTTGGTCACATTAGAAAAGTATGAATACCTCTTGAACTTTTGTCACTTTTTAATGTAACAACCAGATACTTTCGTGTAATTGATGCGATAGACCATCTGAAAAGTATGTTTGAAGTGGAAGGAAAAACTGAGTGTCTCCATCAACTTTGCTTATCTAGGTTGAAATTTCCTCCGCTGCCAAGTCTTACCACATATTTTCATTCAGATTTGGACTGNCCAAAATGTGAATGTTCAATTATCAATTGAGACCACAACGATAATAAATGGATGGGCCAGACTTTGGTTCAGTGCAGAATGTTGCACAAGTTTTTAATTTTAGTCCCAAGCATAATAAAAAAAAAAATCTGAAATCTAGAATTAGATTGAATAAGGAGAAAGAGAAAAGTATACTTTAATTTTAACTTCCATATATCCGGCTAAAAACATATAGATAAATTATAGGTTTTAGTAAAAAAGAAATCAAGCAGGCAGCTGCAGCTCATCCGAACTGCTGCTATTGGAGGCCAGGCCAAGACCAGGTTATTGGATCCAATGACCCCACTCCTTTAATCACTGCACTGACTCGCTATCAGGGCTTTAATGCATTATTGATGGTTTTAAAGGTACTAAATAGTCTTTGACCTTGGATATTTTATAGGGATGAACCATATTTCATTAGAAATCTGCTTACAGAGTTCCTGGTGCACAAGTTTTTCTTTGTATTGATCAGGTTTTGCAAATAGAATAAGATAATTTGCATTTGAAGTAAGAGCAAACAACTCAGTTATTCTATTACAAGTGAATATCTAATTATCTAATTTTAAGGGGGAAAAAAAATACTAATTCCGTCAGCAGATCAATGCATTTGCCTGCTCAAATTAAACAAAAGTACTTTTATTTTGAGAGATTTTTACTTATTTTTACATAAGCATTAGCAAGGTGGAGGAAGCGTTTAGCTGATATTTGTATAACCTATGAAGCAAACTCCATGGAAACCTATAACTGTCTATCATAACAAATATTACCTTATCAGTTCATTTAATATTCTATGACTGTCTGTTTTGTAGGGCTTTCGTTTTAAATATCATACATAAACAAATAATGTTTCAGTCATTAAAATGTTTCTCCCTTTACTAATGTTTTTTTTCCTCATACCTTTCGATTTTGATTTGAAGTTGTACAAATAAACTTACCTTGCATGTAATGTTAATACTCATGCAATACCACATAATTGTCTCTTTCTTCTTTTTTTATTAATCTAAAATCTCCTCCTAATGCTCTTGTTTTTATCTGAAAGAAAGCTTTTACAAAGTTCCTAACATATATTGCTTTAATATCTCAAAGATGTTGCAGATCATCAAATTTCTTTTCTTGCAGGTTATTGCTGAAAATGAGTTCATCTGCTTCACCTGCGCCCATCACTACAGTTCCTTCAAACACAACGTTTGTGACTAAGTCTAGAGAACAAATACTTATCCAGAGTAAGAAACCAGATTATGCTTTGTGTTTGTTTATGTTTTTGTCTCCTTGCAGTTCTGGTTACAGATTCTAAAACACGTTGTTCTTTCTGCAGATATTAGAAAACCTAGAGGAAACACCCATCATGTCTCTTTAGAGACAATTTGTATCGTCACAGTTTATGACAGTGTGTTCAAGAATGGCACCCATGCATATATTAAAACATTTTTCTCATATTTTGTTTATCTGAATGTGCCGTTGCTATGTTACAACACTGCTGAAGGACTTTTTAAAAAGTTGCACCACAGATAGAAAAAAAAATGTGAACAAAACAGAGCATGTGGTGAGGCGATGGTAGATAACCTGCCTTTCTAGACTTTTATGTCTCTTTCTCTCTCTGTCTGCTTTGCAGGCTCTGGGGCTATGATTGCTGTCATTGTCATAGGCATCATTATAATTCTTGCCGTTGTTCTCATCATTCTGAAGACATATAACAGGTGAGATGACATTCCTTCATATTGTATTGGCCTGATGATAGCATACTGGGTCTATTTTTATTCATTCAGGGTGAACGGGATGCCTGCTGAAGCTTTCCAGCTTTTCATCCGTGAAAAAATGTGATTCTTTGTTGTTGAATTCTGTAACATAATGCAGAAGAACATTTAAATTACCCCTATTAAAGACATAAACAACATGTATCCGTTTGGTCACATTAGAAAAGTATGAATACCTCTTGAACTTTTGTCACTTTTTAATGTAACAACCAGATACTTTCGTGTAATTGATGCGATAGACCATCTGAAAAGTATGTTTGAAGTGGAAGGAAAAACTGAGTGTCTCCATCAACTTTGCTTATCTAGGTTGAAATTTCCTCCGCTGCCAAGTCTTACCACATATTTTCATTCAGATTTGGACTGGGCCACTCCACAGATCTATATTTATTCGCTAGATTGCTGATAGACTGAAAAAAAAACTGAAGTCACCAGCTGCCATCTTTGTACTCCCCAATTTCAATGAGGTTTGCGCCATAAAAATGCCTGTAATGTAATGTAATTTCCATGATAATGTAATCAATACATGTATATTACGTGTACATCATCAGTTTATGACTTTAGGCACATCATCAGATGATGTGTGAGTTTATGTGTCTGTGTAATATTCTTAATATCTGACTATATTATCATGTTCCATCAACACAGTATTTTGGTTGTGAAGGATTTGTGTAATATGTTATATAAAATTATTAATTGACTTCATGGCCTTCATCTGAATATGCACGGTGATGTGCCTATTTTTTTTTTTTTTACCATAAATGACAGTAGTGTACTGATGCAATCAAACATCAAATGCATGTCAAAGTGATTAATTCATCTTTATTTTAAAAGTCTTATGAGAACATCATTGTTGTTTGACGCTGTAGCGCATGTATTGTTTACGTTCCGACCAGTCTAACTAGGGGGTACCAATATGGCGGCCGGTGACTTCAACGCACCGTGTACTACCAATGACCTATCAGCAATCAAGAGAATAAATATAGATCAGTGGGCCACTCTAGCACATTAAAACTAGTGTTGCACCAATACCGTTACCAGTATTGGGCGGGGCCCTGATACTGCACTAAAATGGTTGTGATCGGTATCGGCGAGTACCGACAAATAGGGCACCGACACCATTTTGAGAGCCAAAAGTTTATTCAGCTATTGTCACCCATTCCAGGTAGGCAATAAAAAGTTCTACTGGATTCACTTTTTTTTTGTCTTTTTCCTGCTTCACAAAGGTAGGCAGCAGCTTGACAAAGCCATGATGGCAATTATTTTACATCCAAGTATTATGTAGTTCTTCATATATATATATACAAACATCAATTTCAAACAGATGGTATTGGTATATACAAACATCGATTTCAAACAGATGGTATTGGTATCGGCCAATAATGCACAGCCAGGAATCGAGTATTGGCATCATCACAACACTAATAATAAGCCCCATATTTAGCTCCAGATGTTTTTGGGGATGGAGGGCTGATATTCATTGTTTTTACTCCATGCCCTGGTAATAAAAAAGATCCATTATCAACCGAGAGCCTACAAGGCTAGTGTATAAATGCAGCATGGACCTAATGTAGTTCCTTCACACACAGTGACTCTCTTTACTAATTCAGTGCTGACTGAAGGCATTTAGTTGGGCTGAATTGTATTTATGAGTTTCAGAGCATAGGAAGTTGAATACAAATAACCAATAATTTTTTTGGTTTAAACAAATCTCAAAGGTATTATTATTTTCCTTCCACTTTAAAAAGATGCACTAATTTTGTTAGTCTTTTGAATAAAATTTCAATAAATGTATATATACTTGTCATCTTTGTGATCATATTTTTGGTGCTCTTACATTATTATGAGCGATCAAAACATGCAGGTGGCCTCGTTAAAGAAGATATTTAGTCTTGTGTTGCTCTCTTTCTGGCCAGGCGAACACATGAGTCAAGACTTCTAGGAGGCAGGTCGGGCTCCAAACCCCGCCCAAAGTTATCCCAGTCCACAGTTAATGGCAGCGTGCCTCTCAGCACCATATCAGGCAGCATCAACAACTCCAACCCGGCTTCAGAAAACGGCTTCCAGCTGCCCAGAGCGGAGCTGAGCAGTGTGGAGGGAAACAACATAGACCAGTTCAGCACCACCAGCGACTACAGCGAATCCACTGTGGTCACCATACATGACGCACCCTCTCCATTCAACACATAGCACACAGACTGCAGTTCAGGCTGAAAGCAGACACTGACTGATGCTTTATCTTCAGACCAGACCGCAATCTGTGCTGACTGAAACCTGTGGGAATCTATGATCTCTCTCTGTCAGTGTGGACCCGCTGAGCTGCTGCAGGTGACTGAATCATGAACAAAATGGTGTCACATTCAAGAGCCTTGGATTATGAAGGATACAGCATAAAGACAATCTGATGATTGGAAAAAAATGTTTTGATTTTTGAGTTCTCACCTTTTATTTGAGAAACCATACTTAAATAAAGCAGTGAAATATAATGGCTGCCATGACAGACAATGTTTGGTGTGAAGGATTTAGTTCTTTAAACTCTACTTTTGGATCCATGATCCTATCCAGTGTCAGTAGCCCCACTTTTGTTTGGAAAAAGTTTATTTAAAGACATCTTCATCATCAAATGGGACAGTCTATGAGAAGTTTTAAATTCAATAACTGAAATATAAATATGCTAGATGACAGTTTATTGTGCAACATTTAGCAGTATAACTGATTGTGTTAAACCTGATTTATTACCCATAATTCTGTCTTAGTGTTTTCCTCACAGATTAGTTTAGGTTTTATTTTGTTTAGCTTCTGTCAGTAAAACCCGTTGATGTGAATTCTGAAAGAAATTGAAACGAAAGTATTTTGCACTTTATATCATTGTTCCTTGTCTCTTAGGGTGTTTTTTTTATTGTATCTGTTTGTCTTTCTTTGTGACTTATGATTATAATAAAATTACAATATTTTATGTTTGAATTTGTATTTCTTGTTGAAAGCATCTCAATCTGCCCTAGAGATAGAAAACTGGGAAATAGTAATGGTGGTTAAAGATGGATCAATAAATAGATAAAGTAGCTTTAATTCTATCTTTTGGGGGTACTCTCCTCCTCATATTAGTTGGTATTTATTCATATAGTAGGTCAAATATGCAAATATAAGATACTCCGTCAAGAAGCCAATACAACATCAGTTATAAACATAATACTTGATTATACATGATGATATGGAATAGTAATTAACTAAGTGAAACACATTATATAAATATAATATATTTATAAAACCGTAATTTCTGTTATATCTGTGAATTTCAATTTACATTTAATGTAAACATGACATTTAATATCAGAAGTTTACATCACGTAAATAAAAATATAACATTTTTGTAATCAAGAAATTCAGGATTAATAATAAATATATAAATCCTGCTTAAAGTTTTCTATATTTAAAAGTTACTTTAGATATAATAAAAACAGTTACTTTAGATATAATTAAAGCCTAATTTGTTGGATAATTATCTAAATTATTTTAAAGGATCTCCTAAGGTGTCTATATATCATTTGATATGTTTTTGGATAAACTTTCATTTGAAATCAATACATTTTTGAATAATCCTATCTCTATTCTTGAGGAGCAAAGCCTAGCCTACAAAGGTTAGTTTTAACTCTGCAGGTTTTCCAGAGACTTATTTAAACCTGCAGAAGTTGGGATTACAGAATACGCAGCTCTAAACTCAACACCACTGAACACTTATCTAATCAGCTAACATGCTATAATTAAGGGTGATATATACCACACTGGAAATCTCCAAGCATAGCACCAAATATTTATGAAGGAAGCATCTCATTATATTAGAGACTGAATCCTGTTCAATAGTCAGTGATTAAGTGGATATAAATTATATCAGTAACTGAAAAAGACTAAAAACAATAAATGTTTTGTCTAAATTAATGTCATAAAGTTATAACAAGAAGCTTCCTTGTTTTAAAGTGCATCATTTTAATACATATGTGCATCATTTTAATTTTAATACATGGTTTCATGTATTATTATGGTGTAAATAGTTAAAACTTTCAGCTATTTACACCATACTTGTCTATTCTTAAATATTATTATCATATAGATGATTTATTCATCCTAACAATAGACAGAAATGTTATGAAGGCTTATCAGACTGGAAAACGTCAAAGTAAACATTATTGTGGTTGTTGGGTTATTATTGAGAAATTATTTACATTTGTGATTTGATCTACAACCTCTGTTAATTTCCACATGTGCCTCCAGATAAGTTAATTTCATTTTAACCCTCTACGTCAGCTCATTCAAATTTCCATAAGTTAATAAATAGATCGAGCCAAAAGGTTGTTTAGGATTTACTGCGCCCTCTGCTGGTAGGACTTGGCTACAAACAAATTGGATTTGGAGGGTACATTCAAGATAACAAATTTTTGGTATTTAATTTGATTAAAATAAAACTGACGCGTAATTAACATACATTTTGATAAAAATTATATTTTAAATTAAAATCCTCCGTTTATTTGATATACGGGCTACGTGGGGACATGAGTACATTTTGTGTGGTTTAACAATGTTAAACAACCGCAACGGATTCTTGAACGCGACTTTTAGGTGACATGCAGTTGACGTGAGGATGGTGACTGTAGGTAAGAGGTACCGGTTTGTTTTGCTGTTTTAGAATATTTTTTTACCATATCTACTGTCGACATTAGACTCTCATCAGTTTCACTCACATTTCAGAACTAAATTGAGGACGCCTGAAAAGCTAACCTATGCTAAGGAAGTAGCCTAGCTCCTACCAGGTGCTGAAAGTTGCTAACTTTCTGTTAGCTCCCTGAATGAGGAGCTGTTTAGCTTCATGTAATAAATCTGGACCAGCTTCAATCCATCCATTTCTCCTTTTTAAATTCGAAAATACTCACTGCTGTTTTGTCATTACCTAATTTATAAAAAAATCAAATACGTTTTTATTTAAATCTCGACAGAAATTATCTACTTTATTGATTGATAAACAACTTAAGCTGATTTTATTCTTTTTTAAGCTTTTTTTCCCCCCAGTGTTTTTCTCATTTTGTCTAAAATGCACATTTTCGTGTGTACATTTAAATATTTATAAACTGAAAAGACCTCTGTTGCTTTACCAGATTAAAACTTACCAAGCTTTACAACTACAATATCTAAGCTGGTTTAAAAAANTTACTTTTATTTATCATTTTGTGCAAAGTTAGAATAAGGTTGATGAGATCATATTACTCAAATAACAATGGTTGGTAGGAAAACAACTGACCTATTATATCTTTAACCTGTGTGTTACATTATCCTTTACACAGAAGCAGCTTGATTATATCGCAGGTTTTTATAGGCAGGTTGAAATTTTACCATATTTTTTTTTTTGCTGATTTGGACAGATTTCTGATATGTCAATTAAATTCAGTTTATTTATGTAGCGCTAATTGACAACACACGTCATCTCAAGGCACTTTACAGTTCACCAGATCATGCAGTCAAGTTTATTCAATTTTCTATCTAAGAAAAACCAGTTGATTGCATCGTCTCATTGACTCAAATGAGTCCTAAGCATGCTTGTAGCGACAGTGTAGAGGAAAAACTCCCTTTTAACAGGAAGAAACCTCCAGCAGGATCAGGCTCAGTGTGAGCGGCCATCTGCCGAGGGGACTGTGGTTCAAGGAGACAGAAGCAGAGATACAAAAAGCAACTGTAAAAGGAGGCCCCGTCCAGGAAACACACAGCCAGGCAGATGATCTCTGAGCCAACTCCCATGCCAGAGGACGAAGAGAGCACATCCAGCCAGTCACAGTCAGAGAAACAGGACCACACTGGAAAACAGGGCAATCTCTAACATTTTGGTTCAGGATGTTGATATCTGGGATGTAATATTCTCTAAATAACAGTTTTCAGTATTTTTTGTAGATCTTAATTCTGTTTGAAAATCCCCTAAATTTTTATTCTGAATACATTCTTTTGGCTTCAAACTGTAAAATTTGATGATTAAACTGTGAAGCAGCAGTAGAGTATTTTGTCCTGTGTATAATAAACATTAACGTAGAGATGTGAATGTGGTTTTGGTTTGAAGTGGAGGTGCTGAGTCTGATATTGGTGTCGCTGCTGTGGGGCTGCACCAACCCGTTCCTGAAAAAAGGCTCAGAGGGGATCGAAAATGTGAAAGAAACCAACAGAGTCTCTCAGCTGCTGGCTGAAATCAAGTTTCTCCTTCTAAACGTCAAGGTATCTCATAAGACAAAGTTTCCTGTTTAGATGAACTCTGTTGTTATTGTTTGTTTAGCTGAACCTCTCCATTGTGTTTCTCTTTAGTACTTGGTTCCATTTCTCCTAAACCAGAGTGGTTCTCTGGTTTATTTTTATACGCTGTCAACCACCGGTAAGTAAAACACCTAACTATACATTAAATATCTGACTCTAATAATCTTTTATACTGAACAGGTACATCTCAATATGTTAGAATATCAGGGTTTCCATGGGTCATTAAAAATCATTGAAAGTCATTATAGGCATTTAAAGGCATTACAATTCATTAAATGTGATTATCGGGGCATTTAAAATGCTTTCTTAAAAAAAAAAAGATATTTATGAAACCAATTTCGTCATTTTTAATAATTATAATTATATCGCAATGTATTTGCGTGGAACTGCTGGCAGTTGATCGTAAAGTCATATATTCGGAAAAGAAGTTTGAGGCGGAGAAAAAGCTAGAGAATTGAAAAAAGCAAATTTCAACAAAAGAGAGTGGGTACTTGATGATTAAAATGATTTCTAATAGCATTAGAAGAGCATTAAAAAGCATTAAATTACACATTCCTGTATAAACCCTGAATATCATCATGGAACTCCATTTATTTCACTTGTTCCAATCGGGCGGGGAGATATGGTTTAAAAATTTTATCTTTGATATTTTTTTCCCCCCTCCTACTAAATACTAAAAGTTTCATAATAAAAAATACAAGAGATGTATACCAGTTTCAAAAACCACCTTTTTATTTCAATCATCTTTAACCTTCATTTAATAGCAACAAATTTCAAGCTGGGAAATTGCTGTAAAACAATCATGTTCCACAACAAAAAAATGAAAATATCAAACACTACAAGTTTAAACCTGGTGTTGTCACACAGGGAGCTAGTTTATTAGTTATGAGGTTATAGCTAAGAACAGAAAGGGATAAAATGATGTCACTCCGAGCTATAGGAGCTGAAGGGGAGAGTTGGTAAAAAGAAAACAATCTTAATTTTTCCATAAATTAAATCCTCATAAACTCCTATTTGATTAATAGATAAAATAACTGAATTGCTCTGCCCTAGGTCCAATTTTAAAAAACAACATACATTTTATGTAGTTATGTATAGATGCATTAGACTAGCGGTAGATTTAAATTGTTTTTATAAGTTTTCATTATCTTCCTGATAAATAAAATACCAAATTTTAATGATCAAATTAGTATTGATGATCGTTTTAGATAATTATTTTAAACAGCACCAGTAAAGGAACTTTTTTTTTTTTTAATACAGACCTGTCATGTTTTTTTGAGGCTGTGGCCTAAACAATCATGGAGGAGACAACTAACTTGACAACTTCAGCAGAGAGGAAGAAACATACAGTAACAGGCCTGGGTTGTAGCAAAATATATTGATTGAAAGTTTAGAGGATGGAAAAAGTGTGAAAGGGAAAAGGTTCACAAATGAGGAACAGACGATTCCAAGTTTTAGGTTAAAGGACGAGTAATGCTCAATGAACGTATGAATACAAAGAATAGAATTCAACTTTATTGTCATTACATTTTCACAAGTGCAAAGCTATGAAATGAACTCTGCATTTAACCCATCCCATTGGGGAGCTGCGACTATGTGCTGCCCGAGGAGCAGTGTAGGGCTTTAACTCAGAACCTCTGGGAACCGGGGCGTGCTTCAGTGGAACAGTGGTTAGCGTGTATGACCCATGTACAGAGGCCTAGTTCTTGACCTGGCCGACCCAGGTTCAAATCTGACCTGTGGCCTTTTGCAGCAGGTGTCACCCCCTTTCCTGTCAGACTACTATCTAAAAAAAATAAAAATTGAGCCACTAGTGTCGCTATAAAAAAACAAAAAACCTCTGGGATCCAAGTGCAATGCCACTACTCCAAGTACGTTCCACAAAGAAATTAGATGCACAAACTACAGTGTTTGTAGCTTTTAAAAAAAAAGACTTTTCACAATTTTTTCACAATTCATAAAATGTTTATATGTGTTTATATTTGCGAAGCCTTGCTAGTATCATTTGTTACTCATCATTCATGATATTCCACACCGAGCTTTCCGTGTGGATTTAAATATTCCTAGGTGTATGGTGTGGAAAAAAAACAATAATTTTGCCATGGTGACCTAGTGGGCCTGTCAGGCATAAAGCAGGATTAAAATCTAGATTAATTTCAAAAGTCAAGGTCCTGGAGTCTGGAAGAGAGAGAGACCAAGTTGTTGGAAGTCCGCTGTAATGTTTTTGTGGTAACTGATGTTTTGGAGCCATGTCATCTGCTGCTGGTGTTCTGCTTTCTCAATGTCAGTTCGAAATGCCCAACAGGATATCTTAGAACCACTGATGCTTCTGTGTGCCTAAAAAGTTTGGATAAATTGATCCACAAACTGATCTGAACTGCAGCTCCAAGGAGCCTATATGGAAGATGGTTTAAAGGAAGAGGAAGACCCCAGACCTAAGAATGGAGTCTAACTGGGCAGAACCACAGGTTCATATCCTTCAAGCCATGCCTCGTTGATGCAGGCGTTCATGCTAATGGAGTCCTGAACAAACATAGAAACAGTGGATTACATGGACATTCTGCTCAGTAGCCTCATATTTTCGTTTTATTAACAATGATTTTTATTTAATCTGATTCACATTTTCCAAGAGGCTGAGATTTAAATACATTTTTCATTAGCTAGGATCATCCGTATCATCAAAGAAAAAAATAACCTCCTGAGGAGGGGAAATAACAAATTCCTATCGTGATGATATTCTAATTCATTCAGATGTGGCTGTTTGTTTCTGTTGAACCAGTTCCTTTTAACAAAGACCTGACATGTGGAGGGCGTCCATCACCGGTTCTCTCATCAAACTAGAATCTGTATATTTCACTATGTTTCTTTTCCGACACAGATTTGTCTTTTGCTGTTCCTGTGGCGAACTCTCTCACCTTCCTTTGCACTCTGCTGACTGGCAAGTTGCTGGGTGAAGAAATAGGAGGCAAACGTGAGTCATGATCTCTGCTGGATCCTTCATCATCGACATGCAGCATCTATCACTTTCCATCTTCTGTTTTTTATTAAAAATGTTTCTCCTGCTCCTCATTGTGCAGGGGCTGTTTTGGGGCTGCTCCTCACTATGGCTGGGATCACTCTGTGTGTTATAAGCTCCGTTGAAAGCAAAGATACTGACGGACAGAACCAGGGCCAGCATCAGCTCTGATGGAGATCAAGATTAAAGCAAATTCTCCTGCGCTGCCAGGGGATCACTTAGCGGGAAAGAAAAGAGGACCAACGCTGCATCTTCAGCTGGACTAGAGGAGGGTGAAGATTTAGGCAGAAGCTGTTTACAGAAAACTGTCCTGCAGGGAGAATCGCTCCTAGATTTACTCATGTTGGACTTCAAAAGACCTGCCAGAGGAAGAAGATGCTGAAGACATAGAGGGTTGAAGTAGGGTTCACTCTAGATTTATGGCGCTCACGTAGAAAATGGTTGCTGTTAGTTTTTACTGGTTGGTTTTTACTTCCGTGGGAGAGGAATTTCCAAAGATGTTGTCGAGACAATAAGCTATTAGAGAACGGTTGATGAAAAGGATCATTTATGTCATGCCTTGGTGTAACAAAATTTCCCTTAAATTGAAGTTAGCTAAAACTAATAAAAAAAAAAAGGAAGCCTATTGTTGGGTAAAACTTAAATCAGCTAAAAAAATACTTATCAAAGGTATAGGACCATAATTTAGACATCACTGGATAAAACTATTTTCATATCAGCTTTTTATGGGGTATTTTCTTTAAAATAAGCTACACAGGGTTAAAAGTTTCTTATATTTACATGTACATAATGTCAGCATTTAATCCTGTTAAAAAGGATGAAATAAGCGTAAATAAAATGTTAAAATAAACATCCCTTTTAGAAATAGTTTATTTTTTAAATCTGGGGAATGATTTGTTGGTTTATTTTTGACATGTCTGTCCTATGGATAAAAAGATAAACTTCCAACCATCTAGCTGGACTGTGGAAGAGATCTTCGGTGACGCGTCATACTGTGACCTGCCGGTTCTGTCCGGATCGAGCTGGTGATGCATCCTGCAGGCTCTTCTGTCAGGAAAAATATAAAATCATAAGGGCAAAGTATTTGCAACATTTTGAAGATGTTTGTAAACCTGCCTGCTCTTCCTTGACCTTTCCCTCTGAGTGAGATGATGATGAACTTGACTTTGAAGACACAGGCTTCAGCTCAGCCTCCTTTCGAAAACACAGACCGCTATGATCAGTTTTCTGTGCCTGTAATTATCCAGCAGCTGGTTAAATGTGTGGGTGTGTTTATACCAGAGTCTGAGCTGCTGACTCCTCTTCCTGTTCACATGCTTTCCCCTTTCATACAGAAATAAATAAAAATAAATAAAAAAACACACTGACCCAGTTAAATAGGAGGCAGTTGCTAATATAAACACCCAGTCACATGCTCTACCTGCTTTCCACTGGGTTCCTTTTGATGGTTGCTGCTGTTATGCAGTTCACTCTTTTCTGCACGTCTCTTGAGAAAAAGAGATGTTTTTTTTGTTAGAAATTATAAAAGAGGATTAGGGCCACTGAACAAAAAAATAAGTTATTTTTAAATATTTCAGTTTAATATGGGAAAAAAAGTCAGAATTCTGACTTTAATCTCAGAATCCTGACTTTTTTTCTCAGAATTTTGGATCTTAATGTAGATGGGCACCATGAAGGAAGAGATTTGGAGCAATTAGCTTCACTGACAAATATGTGAGTTGTTTGGGGGGGCCAGTAACACATTGGTGGAAAATAACGGAATTAGGCAACTTTTTACGTGCCCAAAGGGTCCCCGGTGATGCTATTGCATAAATGGAAGAGCAGAAGGTGATTAAAACAAGAGAGCTGGTTTAGTCTTTAAAACAGACATGGCTACGGCTTGATGCTAACATGTTTGTTAGCCGTCAGAATTCTGAGATTAAAGAAAAAAGACTTTTTTTTTCATACTGAAATAAAATTTAAAAATCAGTTAACTTTTTAAATTTTTTCAGTGGCCCTAATACTCTTCTTAAAGAAATACATTTATTGCCCTTTTAACAGTAAATAATACACACAGGCACAGCATTTTATTCGTGCCTTTTTGTTTCCTATTTTTTTCCCTATTTTTTTTAACATTTTTGTCTTATCATGTCTTAATTCATTTAAATAAGATGCTGCCCACCTGCTGAATGCTGTGCACAGGGTCCTCTGAGGTCTTTAAGTCTTCATCTTCAACTATTTCTGCAATTCTCTTTAAATAAAGAACGAAAATCAGCTTTAGATTTGACCCAAACCTTTGCGATACATTTTTAGATGACAAAGCTGTATGAGTTTTATTTTCAGGTTTAAAGCCTTTAAAGACTTTGATGTAATGAGACAGGAATGAGTGTGTGGTGTCTGAAGCTAACCTGATCAACAGGAAGCTCTGTTGCCGTATTCTCATCCTCCTGCACTTCCTCTGCATCCCGGACCTCCTCCCTGTTTGTCCTTTCTTCTCCTTCAAACACACCTGGCTTAACTGTCGCAAAAATAGACTATTTTAAAACTCAGTTTCTGATGAATTATAAAGGAAAAGGATTCAATATCTTCTGCTTTTAAATGCTAGGTTTCAGAACCCTCTGAAATATTTGTTCCCGTTTGAGTTTTTACTGTCTTTCCTCAGACGCTGTCCTGCTTGTTTTAGATGGGTTTTTTTTTCCTGCACTAACACACCTGGATTAGATAACATGCCAAGGAGCTGAATTATCCGCTCTGTTGGAGCATCTCAAACAAACTGCGGGACAGCAGCCTTTAAAGGACCGACTTTGAACACAAACGTCACTGTCTGTTGGTTCTAAACCAGTGCTCCATTTTCAATTCTTTTCCTGTTTTTTTCTCAGAATGATCCAGTTTTTAAATTCATCCGTCCTTCCATCAACTCTGATTAGTCTCCCTGCAGCAGATGAAAAAAAGGCTCCCCACAGCATGACGCTGCCACCACCAGATATGCTGTGTTCAGCATGACGTATGAGGGTTTATATGACACCATGTAGATCATAAAGTTCAGATATGTCTCTCACACTTCTTTCCTGTCAGCTAAGATATTTATAATACATAAAAGCATATTGCTATATTGTGCCTAATGGAAGTTGATCCTAACCAGATCCATTGGTGCGCGGCGGTCGGGTTTGATTTCTGTTCTTGCGAACTTTGACGGGTCTGGCGAAGAATGCAGAAGCTTCATCTGCTCCTTTTCTCCTGCTCAGCTGCTGCGAGGACTGAGGAGCTGAAGCTTCATCTCCGGTCGACTTCACCCTCCGACCATCTGACTGAAAGTCAAGACTTACAGCTATTCATGCATTTTAATTAGGAGGTGGAGATGCACATATAATGTCTCCATCTTTTGCTAAACTAATGAATCAGTAACAAGCAGTCATGGCATCAGATGGTTATGAAGCAGATGGAGGTTCTCTTCGTTTTACCTCTGGGGAGTTAAGTAGGGCGGAGTCACTGTGGCGGTCCTCAGGCCCACTTCCTGCTTTCCTGTTCTAAGAGAAAAAATGTCTGACCATTTTGATCTATTTTGCTTTTAAAAGAAATATTCTGAATTTACCTGCTGCAAATAATGTGTGAGAGTTTGAAAAGGACAAGTCTGACTTAAATATGATATTTAGGATGAATAATCAAATGTGAAAGAAAGAAGTGATGTTTTTTTTTTTTTTACCTCAGTTCTCCTCAGCAGCCTCCTCTTTTCAGGATAATTTCTAAAAACAAATAAAAATGGAGACTTGATCATTATAATGGCTATTGTTGTATCTTCTGATGGTCTTAACTGTGGAAGGAAACAAGGACAGATGCATGTAAAAACTAACATTTCCACAAACAAACAGAGCACCGTCGTTTCAATACCTTTGTTTAGTTTTGGAAACCAGCAGCTCCACATATGGAAGTTTCTTGAACCTTTCAGTTCCCACAGCAACATAGGAGCGGCCTGTCTGCAGCTCCTCGGCTGAGGAGATGGAAGCCCCCTCTAGTGAGCACAGTCTGAAACAAACGTTACCCAGATCCTGAACTTCTTGATAGGATCTAGGAGAGGGCCATATGTGAAGCTCGCCTGACCTGCGCACGGCTCCAGTCCGTAAGCTGACCTTCTCTGTAACCAGACTCAGGATCTGATCCAAGTCCTGCTGCATGCTCCGGGGAATGATGAACCGGAAAGGTGGGCACAGAAGATCTCCATTACGGAACACACTGAACAAACGTTAAAGGAGAGCCTTACGTTTTTAATTGACTCTGATGGAAAATCTGACGAAAGCAGCCAAAGTATTATTTTAATACTTTATATTATTTTTAAGCATGTTTTTGCAAAGTGATCATGCATCTAAATTTTTACAGGATGCAAAAGCAAACTTTAATTATATCACTGATGTCAAAGACCAACTAAAATTTGTGAATTGTTGTCAAAGAGAAAAAAAAAAGGATTCAACCCTCTTAACTCCATTAACCCTAAATATAAAATAAAAAGTTGCAATTTTCTGCCTTTAGATGTAATTTAATGAGTCCTTGTTCTGCAACACAGCTGCTAAATTGAACACTAAATTTCTCATTTAATTTCCTTTAAACCTTTACTCCAAAATTTGATTCCTCTGTTGACTCGAACACCGATAATCTGACAGAAACTTTTAGCTTTTAATCTTAATTTTCTTTGTACACATTTCATTGTTTCTTACACAGATTCAGAGGCTCTATCTGTTTTTTTGTCTATTCCCGGCAACAAGAAGCTGTTTAACTAATTTAATCAATTAATCCAATTTTTTTTTCTTTTTTTTTGGCTGAATAGTTCCTGGATTTTTTACATAGGGATTACATATTGTAATAAAACAAAAACAATATGGCTTATAAATACTTGGTGTCTGTTTCAGAAGACATAAATTTGTAAATGAAAATCCCAAACAGTGTTAATCTCTAAATGCATTGAGAATCAGTGGCATGACTTAAAAGTGAATGTTTGCAGATGATCTCCATCCAATCTTAAGCTAATTTGCAAATGAGGGCAATAACTTCATTAAATGGATGTATGATGCTGAAAGAAGAATACAACAGAGGAAAATTTGAAAAAAAAAAAAAAACTAATAAAATATAAATCCACCATTTTCTTTCAACATCCCAGCTACCTTGTGAGGGTCTAATAAATAAAAACCCACATAAAAGAAAATGTTCTAGGGTTATGATTGAAGGGGTGTGTATTTGTGTAGAATTGTCAAACTCACTGTATAATGCAGGGAACAGGAATAAACTTCCTCCATTTGGCTGAAACGTTTGGCCTCTGGATGACTTTCGCCTATTAGGGATATTTGAAAAATCAAATGCAGAGAACATCCCACTCTGAAAGCCTGATCATCTTCTGTTCTGTTCAAACACCACTCATCAGATTTACGCCGCTTCCATTCTCCGCATCCATATCCATCCCAGCAAACTCACTTTCCCTTCAAGTATAATGACTATTTAAACATTCTGCTCGTGTAAACTCAAGTGCGGCAGCCATGGAAACTAAGCTCGCTCTAAGAGTCCTCAGATGGCATATTTACTTACCGTGTCTGATTTGAGGTATCCTCTCAAAGCTCTATACCGAGATGCTTTACATAAATGCAATGAAAACCAAATGTGTCTGGCCATAGCTGGGGGGGAATCGGAACAAAGCCACCATTATGGTTTCATCCTCCGTGAGGGAGAGCTTTCTTTATTAATCTACATCCAGTCTGAATCAAGCTGTGAATTTCAGGCCTGTCAGGACATGCACATGGCCCTGATGGGATTTTGTGGAAACTTTGTGTGACACACACACAAACACACACACACAAACACACACACACATGCTTATTGCTTTGCTCCAAGGTAACCACAACACTGGCATGCAAAACTTTCAAAAACCCAAAGATTCTGACTGAAAATCTAAATGAAAGTCATATTTATTCCTGAATGTAATATGGTTTTTGTAAAACACTAATAGGCAGAGACCGGGAGTTTTAAAAAAAAGAGTTTCTTCATGCATTCATACAGATTAAAAGACCGACTCTTTCTTTTATATTAAATATTGCAATTATAAAATCTACAGACAAATAATAAAATTTGAACTTTTTCTTGTTTAAAAAAAACTCTCTGTAGGAACTGGTTTAGTCTGCATGGCTATGGCATTATCCACCTGTAGCTAATGAGGCTAAGGTACTTTATTAAATTATAGCAGAGTGAACAGTTAGCATTTTATCATTAGCATTATACATGACAACCACTGATACCAGCGGTACTGTAAGAAGAAAATGGCTGATCTTATCACATCTGGGGCTAAAATAAGTGAAGCAAATAAGAGATTATCCCATTAATTAAAAATATTAAAGTACAAGAGGTGTGTCATCAAAGCCAAAGACCATTAAACCCTGTTAGGAATTTATTTTTCTGATTTATTTTGATTGGCAGATGCCTGTTTACTTATTAGTCACAGGGAAATAAAAAAAAAAAACTTTAATAATAATATGAATAATCACGTTTATATGGTCCTTTACAGTGACATTTTGATTAATAAAAATATATTTGGAATGATATTGCTAAATAAACATTTGGATTATAGAAAAACTCATCTTAAATAAATTGCAAATGGCAAAAATTAAAAAATCTACACCCCTATACATGTCATATGTTAAATATATTATAAAAATAATCACTTTCATTTTTAAAATTGTGTGTATTTCATGTTTAGACAAATGTTTATACTTTATAAACTACTACCGTAGGTCATTCTTCCAGCACATGGCATGGTTAACCGTCTGAGTACTGTTACTCAAGTAACAATTAGATTTGATTGTTAAATTAGTTGATGACTAATAATTAATTAATCAAGAAAAAATATCTGATGATTTTTTGTTTAAGATCAGTTGTCTAAGAGCCAATGATGACCCAGAGTATTTCACAGCAACTTGAAATTTAAAGGCAGAGCTCCGTAGTATTTCTCACTGACAGACATTTTGGATTTTTAATGTATTTTGTTTTTAAAGCAAATATTTCTATATTGCTATGTTGAAGGAGTTTTAGAAACATTGGGAAATAATTGTACCAGGCTATTGAGGATTCTTTTGTGGGCATTCTTGACACTCTTTCTAAAGCTCTAAGTTTGTTTATTTGAATATCAAAATTATATCACATCCACAAAAATTGGGAAAGGAATCATAATGTAGGTTTGAACCCTATCAATGGGTCGCTGCACATGACTCCACTGCTGAAAAGAAAACACATAGAAGTTTAAAGTTTAGTTTGCATCAGCCAAATACTGGGAGAATATAGTCACTCAGATTAGACCAGAACTGTCAGGGCGTTATTACCTAAACAACTTCCTACTTATATACAAACACATTTATAGAACGTTTTTTTTTTTTTTATTTCTCCTATGCGCCACTTCAGCAGTTATACATTCATCCACAAACTATTTTGTGCTGACTTTGTTTTATGTATGGATTACATTCATGTGTTTTCTTCACCCTGCAGCCCTGTGGTGCAATCCTCTGTTAGAGTGGGTTAATGAATGATGGACGATGCAGGAGGCCATGGTAGAAATAAGGAGCCTACCTGTGGATCATGACGACTTCCAGCTTGCTTTTTTAACCCTGCATGCAAATAACTGTATAAAGACAGATCATATGATACAATGATAGTTTTTTGGCTAATATTTATCTAGTATTCAATCAGGTAGATTAATCTTTTAGACTAACAGAAGGTTCAATAATAAATAACATGTACTCACTCCAGTTTCTTGAACCTCTCAAAGCCGGCTGCGACATACTGGGCTCCTGGTTTGAGGTCCTGCAGGTCTGTGACCCTGTGGCCCTGCTTTGGGGTGTAAAGATTCCTGACAGCAAGCGGAGCCCCGATGCTCTGGGTCACCTCGTTCAGGAAGGCCTCCATTGTGGCCACCTGACGTTGGTTGACCACAAACCTACGTCCGCTGTAGAAGGGGTCTCCATTCCTGAACACCACTACGTTCTTGACTGGAGGCAGGTGAGATGGAACTGCAGTGCTGGATGCCATCTCTGAGCTACAAGCACATCCACACACTTATTTTTCCACACATAAAGACTATATCACTAAACACCACATATGATTCTTTAAGGCATATTTGCTCAACAACTACACATCTTTGCATACATAGGATCTCTGATCTATTTTCTAAGTGCAGCACAGACACTTCACACACAGACCTACAGGAGGGTTAGGTTCAGCACAGCCGAATGTGGAAATCGATCCCTTCTGCTCTTGGGGTCCGTCTAGACTCCAGCTCCCCACGCTCTGCTCTGTTCTCTGCCCCCCTCTCTCACGGACACTACTACTACTTTGACGGCGGTGAGTATTTCCTGGTTGCTATGGCAGCAGGGCCAGCAAGGACTGGCTTTGTGGGCCAAACCATCGATGGAAACCACAACAAAGCTGTGTGACAGAGGAGGGAGAAGGGGTTGGGTCTCTGTGCTGTGGGCTGAATCAATAAGATAAACCTCTACACCTGCACATGTGTTTTTGCAAAAATGCCAGTGAGATGTTACTGAGAACATTTTAATGTCCCAAAATTAACAACAGTAAAAGTAGTTTTGTTCAATTTATTAGACCTACAGCTCAGTTTAGATCTCATCGCCTCCAGCATTAATTACATTAATGGGGGCCGTTAATGTTTTGAACCATTTTTCTTCCATGGCAGGTTAATTATAAAATATACCGCTTCAATTATTTGGAAAAACACAAATAATTACTTTCTATCTCAAACTGGATCTAAATGATTCATGTAGGCTCAAATATGCAGTTATAATCAATATATGTGTGTTCCAATGAGACTAATTTGCAAATGAAAAGTACCTTTCAAAAAAACGTATCTTCCTAAAAATAACTTCAGCGATGTTCTAAATGATCAAATATGGTTGGATACATGAGGCCCCACTAATATTTACTGAAGGGTATTTAGTCAAATGCATGGAAATGACATAAACAACCTTCTAAGGTTTTGTTTGGGATCATTTTTCAATTGGAGCACCTGTTTTTATCAAGGTTTCAACTGTGACTCAAATGCCCCTCCCCTCAATGTAAATGACATTGGGTCTGATGTTCATAAGATACACAGGAATAACTAAGTCTTAAGTTTATAATAAACTAGAAACTAGTAGAAAACCAGCTTTTCAGTTCACACTAAAGCCAGGTTAATGTTACCAGGTATTGAGGTCTTGGGAGGCTGCTGTTCGTGAAGCCCATGATTTGAAATCAACAAAGTCTCACGGAGAAGAGATTCATGGTTAAAAAAACAAACAAAAAAAAACGACAAATATTGAGTTGTTTGGTCACCACCTGTGGAGTACAGTAATGGCAGGATGATGCTGAGGGCTGTTCAGAAGAGTGGGTGAAATAATGAAGGAAAAAAAGTCCCTCAAACCAGAAACTTAGACATGATTGAGTCTTCTAATGGACTGATACCAATTCTTTTCTTAAGGCTATTTATTTTTTTATCTGTCTAACCAATCCCAGATAGGTGCAGCTTGTATTTTTGGGTCGAGTCTTGGAGCAGATACACCTCCAACTTAATTAAATGAAAAAAATGACGAAAATGTGACAGAATTTCTCAAGTCTTAATTTAAACAAAAAACATTTATCAACACATTATTTTAAACAATAAAAATGGACAACGAATGTAGGAAATGGTAACGCTTGATCTTCATGTCATCTCAAGACATATATGCTGAATGCACTAAAAAGCATAGAAACAGCAGCCAATAAAGATAGAGAAAAAACACGGCCAAAAGTATTGACCAACTTCTCTACTGGTCTAGCTTCAATAGTTATCCAGAACAGCTGTCAAAACTAAAATGGGACAGGAAACATTTTAATAGAAGCACATTAATTTGTTTGATTTAGACTTGGTTGGTCAGGAAAAAAATAAAAAACTTAAACTAGTACAACCAACTCTAATGGTGAAAATCCATGGCATTTGATTTCAGTAAAGCCAATCCAATGTGGGAACCATTAAAAGCCCAAATGGGGATGTGAACCTTGTTTAACTGATTATCCAAAAAGGAGGAACCTAAAAGAGCATTTTACAGGATAAGACAAATTTTAACAAACAAAAAACAACAAAAAAAAAACATTGAATTAGATCCAGTTTGGGGATATGAGGTTCTGACCCACCATGGAACTGTTTTAATTCAAAGATTTGCTTTAAAACTCAACAAAATATCAATATAAACACTCAGACTTTTATTTGTGGAAAAATATAATTTATTTGTTTTCACAATATCAAAACCATACAAGTCTATCAGTGCAAATATTTCCATATATGACATCATAAATACTACTTACAATAAATTTCAACACAGATGACATTCTAGTGAATCCGGCATCAACAGTCCCACATTGTTACGTCCTGTTCACATTAGGTTAACCATCAGGATACACTCAGTCTGTTCCTCAGGGAAAGGTACTGGAAAGGAGGTGGCATCAGAAGACACATTAAAACTTTGCCTGTGTTATGCAGATATAAACTTATATTAGCAGTAATAAGGAGCTTATCCTTGGTGTTTGGATACAGAGCTAAAGAATGTAATCAAAACCAGGGCCGGCCCAAACATCTATGAGGCCCTAAGCATTATTCGATATCGGGGCCTTCTATTTTTGCCAATGATTTCGTTTGCTGCCATCACTCATCAGATGATCAGATCAAATACACACCCACTATAAACTCATTGCCACTCTGGAGGGCTTTTTTTTTTTGACAGTCTCTTATTTGTAGCATCATAAAAATAATAAATGAACTCCTGTGCAGTTTGTTTACAGTAAAACTATAATGCAAAAATGACCTGTTGCAGAAGGAAAGAAAAGAAAAAAATTTTTTTTAAAAACAAAATGAATAAAACTGTACTAAAAACACAACACAAATCAAATATTCAGTAAAATATCGAGCTCATCTTTGTTCTACATCAATAAGTTTGTCTCAGAGATGTTTACTTTGCTCCCTTCTAGTCTGTGTGTCAGTTTGGCTCAAGGACAAATTACATTTATAAGTATTTTTACATGGTGTCATGTAAAAATACTTTTTTTTTTGCTGCCCTGGGGCAAAAATCTCTTGATTTCTCTCCTTGGAATTTAGCAAAATCCTTCAAGGAGCTTTCTCAAGCTCTTTGAAGATCTTGCTGTATACTTTTGGACACTTTCTTGAAACTGAATTGATACTTTCCTTTACTGGTTGCACTCTTAAACTCATCAAACAAGTGAAACAGAGAAGAAAAATCAAAGTAGCATTGAAATTCTAGCAAAGCACTTTTTACTTCTTCAAAAGTTCTAGGAAAGTATGGTGGAAGTTCTAGGAAAATAATCCATAAATGTTCCAGGAAAGGCATCTCAAGTTCGGGGAAGTTTTTGGAGAGGGGGCCATTAATGAAAATAAAATAAAACTACATGTAAAAAAAAATATTTCAGCATTTACATATAAATCAATCAATGTGAGTCATTTTTTAAAAGATGATTCTAAAATTGGGATGATAATAACTGATGTTATACCAATTTTGTTGCAATTTGTAGTCTTACAGTATCCAGAAAACCCCCCCCCCCCTTTCAACCCTTTAGTGGAAAAATGTTAAAAGGCTGAAGTTTTCCTAAGTTTTTCTTGTGAACTGAAACATAGATATAACTTTTCAGTTCTATTCAATAGATTTTATGAAACATTGACCTTTTAGTTAGGATTCCTGACATCCCTGTTGTTTATCTCCTGAGAAGAAAATGCTGAAACATTTGTATGTTTCAGCATTGACAGTTTTCTGTTTTACAAGGCGGATCCTAGAAATGTTATAAGATGCCAAAATAGAAAATTAGAAAGGCTTTTAGAAACATCACTCCAAGTCAAAGATTTACCTTTTTCCTGCTGTCGATAGCTTGCTGGATCCAGACCAGCTCCATGGTCAGAGTGTTTCTGTGGAGACGCAGAGCTTGTGGAGTACGGGGCACATCCTGTGCCAGGCAGTACTGCTGAAGACCTGAGTCAAGGATCACAAACTCAAAATTACAAAAAGAAAAAAAGCTTTAGTTTATATATATTTATACACTTATTAAATATAAAAACTCTGAGCTCTTTTTCAGGTAGTTGTATTCTGAGTGTCATTTGATTATAAGGGGCACATTTAACAACCGCACAATTACAAGTGATCTACTGCCATGTGATGACAAAGCAGCGGAAATTGAAAACCTAATTTGAGCTGCAGGACAATGGGAAACATGGCAGCAATACAACACTCAGTTAATCTCTAATATTTTATCATCACAATACGGAGATGTCAAGTAACGAAGTACAAATACTTTGTTACTGTACTTAAGTAAACTTTTTAGGTATCTATACTTTACTCCATGACTTATTTTTCCTCTGACTTCTTCTCATTACATTTTCACATAAGAATCTGTATTTTCTATTCTTACATTTTTAAAACAAACGTCACTCGTTACTCTTGGCTTTGGTTTAATGTTTCTAATTATTTATTTCACGTCATGTGCGCCATCCAATGCAGATCATTGGCTCCATCCGCATCTAGTGAAAACTAGTGTCATTGGATGAGTCATAGAACGCAAACACTCATTGGTTAGCTAAAGGAAATCATCAGAAGCAAGCAGGTGTTCTTCAAACTGCAAACGTGAATTGTCTATGCCATGCTACGATGTCGGATTCAGAAAAAGATGTTGAAATGTCTGAAAGGTCGGACACAGGCGAGAGTGTCTCGGGAGATGGAGACCAACAAGACCTCCCTCATCCTATCTCTCCATCTATCTCAAAGAATCTTTCGAAATAGTCGAAAAATTGAGCTTTCAATTTATATAGTGGCATCTGGCTGTTTTTTTTAAATGTTTTTTTATACTTTTATTCTTTAAATAGTTTTTGGAGCACATACTTTTTCACTTTTACGTGAGTAAAGAGGTCAAGTTGATACTTCAATTTTTACCAGAGTGTTTTTAAACTGCAGTATCTATACTTCTACTTAAGTAACAAATGTGTGTACTTCATACACCACCGTCACAATATCAGTTTGTACAATTTCTCTGTCATAAAGGTTGTGTTGTTTTGGCTGTTATGTTCCTAGAGTCAGTTCTCTCTGTTCATTTCACTTAACAAAATTATATTAAAAATTATATTCATCACAACTGACAGAGTTCAATGCTTTTCATTATTTAATGTTTACAGCAAAAACAACTGCAGAAGCCTTTAACTTGGGATTGAATAGACATAAAATACTGTGCATGTTGAACCATGTACCTCTCTGAGGATAAACACCAATGTCCTGCTCGGGGCTGCTCCAGATGGTGGAGGATCTCCCTGTTCTCTTTGTCTCCCCTCCTTCAACCGTCCATCCCTGCTCCTCTACATCCCCTCTCACTGGGATGCTAG